GGGGGGGGGCGGATAGCCCTAACATAGTCCTCATTCTTGGGAAGAGCTCAGAATTCAGTTGGGCATTGGAGGAGTCTGTGCGTGAATCAAAACGGATGACTGACTGAAAGCCCCAGCAGGCGGGCTGTGGAGCAGCCGGTGCTGTGAAAAGGGTGGATGGTAGATTCCATTCCATTCCTCCACGAAGCTGGCCCTGCTTTTGCTCTGCCCTGGCCTCCACTCCCTCCTGCACCATCCATTTGGAATCCAACAGAGAAGAAAATTCTTAGACTAACATCCTGTGGTCAAGCTGGATGTGTGCCTTTCATTTGAAAACTCCTCCAAAGGAGAGAGGTTTTAAAGCACGGTGTATCCCCCGCCCCCACCCGCTTTCCCACTTCCCAACTTTCCACCATACTGTGCGGCTTTCTGAGTCGCCATAGCCTTTGTCTATTCTGTGTGGTACAAGAATGGCGCTCTCTCCTTTTCAAAGCTCTTTGCCTTTGTCAAACAACACTCGTGGAGCTTTAAAACCCAAAGATGGCGAGCTTTCTGAATACATCTGTGTGGAAGAGATTAATCAAGTCTGTCATAGATTGCGCTGTAAAACCTTTAATATTTCTAAAAGGTTTAGAGATGGCATATTTATCACATGCATCATTGAGAATAATCTTTCTTTTTATAGAATGAAAATAAATGCTCACTGTACAATACTGCGGTGATGAGCACAGCGGGCAAGAGACTCATGGGGAGGCCCACTTGTGAGATTGGAATGGAGATTCTGGTGAAATCTTTCTCGGACATGTCTACGCTAGATACCGCCCATCTCCCACCACGCGTCTGTGAATCTGGTTTTGCTCTATGGGGGCCATTCTAGACTGGGGGATAGAGACTAATATTTGTTGTGCGTTGGCTGGGGGTCAGGAACTGAGTCTGCAGGCTTGAAGTGGGTTGCTACATTTTAATTTCTACAATAATCCTCTCAGCGAGGCACTGTCATCGCTGATTTATAGACAAGAGAACAAAGATTCAAAAAGTGAAGTGAGTTTCTCAAGACAAATATTCATTTTCAAACCTGGAATTTGACTTTTGGGTCTCAGAATCCTTCATTTTATTTGTGTGGCAAATATTGAATAAGGGCTTGGCACATGGTAGGCACGCAATAAAGGGTTACCAAAATTGTGTTGGTGAGCCTTGTGGTTTCTTGGGATGGTTAGCAGAGGACCTGGAATCAGTAAGCACAGAAACCGAGAAGAGTACTGGGCTTGATGCAGAGAATCGGGAATGTGTGCTTTAGGATGATTCATCCAGTGATGGTAATCATATCCGTTAGAGTAGGGAAGGACTCACGCAGGGATCACTACTAGTATAGCTAATGCAGACAGTGTACTTCATTATTAGTGAAGTGTGTTCACATTATTGTCATTTAACCTACTCCCATAGATCCCAGCACTACTGTCATTTTACTGATGGGCTAACTGAGGCTGTAATGAGTCTTAATCAGGTTATATAAGTAAAAGTAACCAAGCTCTGGTTCTCCCTATAGCAAAGCTGCCATCATACCACCATTCCGTAATGCGTTTGCATGGCTAGACATCTCTACAAGTTGGAAAAATTGAAATAAAGATTTGAAGCCTCCAAGGGCCCAGAGATCCATCACTTTTAATGTGCAGATTGGAAGCTGTGGCTCAGGTATGGAAAAGAGGGTAACGGGGACCCACCAGATGTGCCCTGATCACAGAGGGCACAGGTGCATGTGCTTGGGTGGCAACGGGTGGTCAAGAACCAGCAGTGGTTTCCTTTGGTGATGTCCTGAAAGAAGGAGAAGACTCTTAATAGAGGAAGAAGAGCCAACAAGTGGGGCTAACAGAGCAGAGAAGCATGACTGTGTGGAAAAATGACAACATGTTGGTCCCAAGGGCGGGGCCCCTTCATGGAAGCTTAAGTTTGTTGCTTCAATGTAATTAGTTGTGTAATTGCTTTCCCAGCCTGCTGCCATGGTGTTCACACACATGGGTAATAAACCCCCACCCACCAGGCAGTGGCGTCTGCACGCCTCCACTTCATGCCCCCAGCTCCACCTCCGAACAAGCAACCCAAAGAGATGTCCTGAGGTTGGGAGGTTTTCATTTCCAAAGCCACCTTTGCTCCGGAGCAAACTTCTCTGTGTTTACCAAAAGTACTGGGAGAAACTAAATACATAA